AAATATGAGATTTTAATTTATCACGTTAAGAAAAAGGAAGTGTTTTAATTAAAATATTTTACAATTACTTTGTTAATGTAGTTATTTTTTAATTATCTATATCGTTGAGTTGTAAATCCTAAACTAGTACATAACCTTTCTCGTCATGAATAGAGAGAATACACATAATTAACCAAATTGAAACCAAATAGATTGATGTTTTTTTTTAAAAAAAATAAAAAATTGATTATTCCATGCATTCACTCTTACAGTTGAACCATTTGTTGTGTACTCATGCTGTGCATCTATCAGCTTCCAAACATATTACAAACCGCAACATAACAAATGTCACAATATTTTCCCATAGCATTTCTCTTTACAATGTTTACATGCTTTTTTTTAAAAAAAAAAAAAAACCAACTTAGTTTTGTTGGTTGGGTTGCCTATTTCTCTTTTTGGATAAAGGGTTAAAATTTTCATTTTTTTCAACTAATATTTCTGACTACAAACTTTTGCGTATCCAAGTGGAGACGCCTGCAGAAGCACAGCCACCACTCATTTGAATCGACCAAAGCAAGCAGCCAAATCCATTCCTCTAATTTCTTCCAAGAGTATGCACACTCCTCTAATTCTTCCTCGACCACCTACTCTTCTTTCCCTTCTTTTTCGACAATATTCTTCCATGGCCAAGAATCTACATGAATAATCCCATATCCATTTCTCTCTCTCTCTCTTCCCTCTCTCAGCCGTCTACTCCTAGACATGACTCTCTCTTATACCCTATCGGCTTCTACAAGAAACACTATCTCATTAGAAACTCCTGTCCTTCATAATTCTCATTTCTATCCACCCAGAAACAGCTCTTCTCTCTTGTCCAATGAAGCCAACTTCCTCAAGAAAGAAACTCTTCCATTCAAGCCTCGACAGCAACAACCAACCGAGAGTACTGTTCTTCCCATCTTGAGACTGAAGAACTCTAAACTCACACGCCCTTTTGCCAGTATATCCTCTTTCGCAGAAGCCGGAGGCGAGGAAGAGAAAAACGAAGGAATCGAGAAACATCAAGAAACAGCAAAAAACAAGGAAGATGATGACTTGCCTGGAATGGCCAAGGCCTTTGATATATCCTCAAGAACAGCCTCTGCTATATCAATATTGATTGCATTTGCTGCTTTAAGTCTCCCCTTCTTTATGAAGACTTTGGGACAGGGTTTGGACTTAAAGACCAAGTTCCTATCATATGTGACACTTTTATTTGGATTCTATATGGCTTGGAACATAGGTGCCAATGATGTGGCTAATGCCATGGGGACTTCTGTTGGGTCTGGGGCATTAACAATCCGGCAGGCAGTGTTAACTGCTGCTATTTTAGAGTTCTCAGGAGCGCTGTTGATGGGTACCCATGTGACCAGTACAATGCAGAAGGGAATTCTTGTTGCCAATGTGTTTCAGGGAAAGGATACCCTGCTCTTTGCTGGATTGCTTTCTTCTTTGGCTGCTGCTGGTACTTGGTTGCAGGTGCGTGCACTTTGCGTTACTACATTTATTTTATTCCCTTCAATTCCTTTAAATATCTTACATTTTGTATGAGATTTTGAATTAAACCCAAGTATATACGTTATGATTCAATCAAGGAGTTAGTAGTAACATGCTTTCATCACTCAAATTAAATGCCTTGTCATGCAAATTCTGCATTAATTGAAGCTACATAAATGAATGATGATAAGTTACTAGTTATGGTGCTTCTAATTTTCATAGCCAATTAGCCATGCCATAACAAATCTGGACCTTTCTGATAACAGAAGTTGTAAGTGACTTTTTTTTTTAGCATCTATTCCAAATGAAAATGGCTCGAATTCGCTGTGTTTAGGTCATGTTTTAGTGTAGAGAATAAATTAATACTGTTTCTCCTTTGCAAAATGTTTTCTTCCGAAACCTTGTTTCATGGATATTATTAGTCAGTTTCGTCCGGCATGTGAGATTGATGCTAGAATTTTCATTTGACTGTTCTTGCTTTCAGCTCATGTAATTATACATAATAACAAACCTATGTGAGACAATAACAAGAAATGGCTGTGAGACCAGCAAATTCTTGAGAACATGGTGACGGTTGTTGTGCAAAAATTCTTGATTCGTAGGATTTTGTTTGGGTGCTACCACCTTATAAATACCAGAAAAGTCTGTGTATCTTCCAAATTGGATACCTAATGACTCGTGAACTGATCATAAAGTAAGTAAACCTAGCTATTTGAGACAAAAAGGGAACCAACAAGGGAAAAGTTTCTTTTTCAGCATTCCTTACGAGGATATGGTGATGAGTGTTAAGTAATGCTTTATAAGGCTTTGCTGACTCTTAACAAAACAGCTATAGGAAGAGGATGGGGCAAAAATTCTTGGGAGTTCTATTTAATCTAACCATACGGATGTTGTGGATCTTATGTTTACTACTGCGGTGACTTCCTTTTGTGCTCTAGAATAACTAATTTCAGAATTGTAGCTCACTTCTTGCATAGGCATTACATCCTTATACTGCCGATCAGATCAGCAAAATCGTCAGATGCCACATTTTGTGGCCTGTTTTGTAGTTGGTGGAAACTTTCAGGACCTTTCAAACGCCCTATCTGTCTTAGTAGGTGAAACAATGCTAGTTTCCAAGGCTATCAAGCAATAGAGTTATAATCTGATAAGAGCATGAAATTTCTTGAAAAACTCTTATGTTTTGGCAATCGTCGTCATATCTCGACAGCAACCTATTAAGACAACAAAATCCGTCCTCCAGTGCAAGTTTCTCTTGAAATATCAATATTAGATTTCTGTTAATTTTTGTAGCCTAAAACTAAGTGTGCTTATTCTCTAATCTATTTGGTGCTACATTTTTTAGTCTTTTCATCCATTCTTAATTTATCATCTTGACTTGTCCAGGTTGCATCATATTATGGTTGGCCTGTCTCTACCACACACTGTATAATAGGATCAATGGTTGGATTTGCTCTTGTCTATGGGGGACCTGGTGCTGTCTTCTGGAGTTCTCTGGCAAGGGTGACTTCGTCGTGGGTGATCTCACCATTAATGGGTGGAATGGTGTCATTCCTCGTCTACAAATTCATCCGCAGGGTATGTTCTTACACTTGCAGATTTGAACCAGTGAAGCTCACTACTTATATCAAGTATTGTCTGCATTGGCTTGTGATATGCTATAAAAGTTTCCACTCATGCAACCAGACGAGAATTTTTATTTTTGAAAAGCTTAGCATCCGAAGTATTGTCATTCATGTACTACTCCAAAATTCTAACCATCTTTAACTTTTGTAGTTTGTGTACAGCGCTCCAAATCCAGGACAAGCTGCAGCTGCAGCCGCACCAATTGCTGTCTTTCTGGGTGTAACTGGAATCTCTTTCGTAGCCTTTCCTCTAAGCAAGGTCTTTCCTTTGGCTCTGGCACAGGCTTTAGCCAGTGGTGCTGTTGGTGCTTTCCTTGTTGACAGAATCATCCGGAAACAGCTGGGTCATCTCTTGGTGAAAGCTAGTTCGTCACAACCTGGGCCAAAAGAGAGAGCTATACAGAGCAAAAATATTGGATTACTCTCTGATTTTGCGGGACCAAAGGGTACCCAGTTGGAAATAGTTTATGGAGTTTTCGGATACATGCAGGTTCTCTCAGCTTGCTTCATGTCATTTGCACATGGCGGAAATGATGTTTCCAATGCAATAGGTCCTTTGGCTGCTGCATTATCTATTCTGCACGGCGGTGCCAGTGGAACAGAGATTGTTATTCCAACAGATGTTCTAGCATGGGGAGGATTTGGTATAGTTGCAGGGCTAATGATGTGGGGATACAGAGTGATAGCAACAATTGGGAAAAAGATAACCGAACTTACACCAACTAGAGGATTTGCAGCTGAGTTCGCAGCGGCTTCTGTGGTTCTAGTTGCATCAAAGCTGGGGCTGCCCATCTCTGCAACGCATACTTTGGTGGGTGCAGTGATGGGAGTAGGATTTGCTAGGGGACTGAACAGTGTTAGAGCAGAAACCGTGAGAGAGATTGTGGTTTCGTGGGCCGTGACAATTCCAGTTGGTGCCATCTTTGCAGTTTTCTACACATGGATATTTACCAAGGTATTGTCCTACATATTGTGAGTGTAAATTTACAAGATTAAAGTGCAAAGCTTGATGTATGTGATTAATCAAAATCACTCATCTCTCAAAAGAATTTGTGGGATTATAGCGTCTTTTTGAGCTATTTGATTTCCTTTCAGCAGAAGTCGCAATTTTTTATGGAATTGAGGAAACAAAACGATTTTTTTACTGGATATTGGTTCTATGATATTGACATGAGAAAGGAGAACCTAGTCCTGGATAGCGGTGCCAGTTCTGTGTAGAGTAATGATTAAACATTGATCATGTTAGAAACCAGCATCTAGAGAAAAAGAGAGCAATAACCAGTCTCCCCATAATCAAACTGCTGCGTGATTTTCTTTTCTAATGTTGGAGAGGGTAGTATTTTCTTTTCTAAACGGCCTTCAGGTTCTATTCTGGCTAATGGTACAGTAAGTTTAGCCATGACTAAGTACACTGCAGATTTAAGAACACGATGAAAGATTATATTTACATCAGCATGTGAATCAAGGTCCCGGAAGCATAGCATAGCAGGATTCCATCTTGAAGCAAATGTCAAAATTATAGGTTATATGTATTTACAGCCAAAACAAAGTTGTTGATGCTTGATTCAACAACAGTAAATAACTGAACATTCTGCAAGTTTTTGACAATGGAAGAAATAGTTCCAGCAAATTCCACAATCATAAGGATCCTACTGTTCATGAGTGGAATATAGCACCTATCTATTCTTCTATACTAACTCAATTATTGTGGTAAAGTTTATTTAGCAGACTTGTCACGAAACCAACAAACAATGAAAAATGCTTCGAAACTCTTACAAAAGGAAGAGAGGAAAAAGAACTGCCTAGAAGGACCACATACCAGAATACATGGTGTTACAAGACATCTGGTAGATAACCAAGTCATGGAGACACTTCTTGTACAGAAGTCAAGCTGGGTTCCCAGCTTAATCCCCGGAAAGACCTTGCCTTAGGAAGTGGGGGTACAAAAGGCTTCTTTGCTTTGACAGTCCTCTTTGCTTTATATCTTGGCCACCTATCCTTGGACATATAGAAATCTTTCGCAGAACCTACAGATTCCTCGGAAATATCTCTGCTCGCATCCCAAGTGATATTCGCATCAATTATCTCATTTTTACCTTCTGCAAATCCTTTTACTTTTACGCTTCCCATTTGTTTACGAGTCAATTTCCGAGCGGTGGTGGATGGAATTATAAGATATTTGTGACCAGGCAACAATTTTTCATCTGGCCATAATAGAGATTCCTGGGGATTTTTGAAAACTCCTGGAAGGGCAACGCATGTTCCAGGATACTTTTCCATTAACTGAGACGCAGGAACTGCAGATTGATACAGCTCCTCTCTTCCACCAGGATGAACTATCCTGACACAAATATCTCTCGACTGTATGTGTAAGGCCACTGATATAGGAGCTCCTTCCAGTTCTCTTTTCCTTGTGGATTCTGTCCGTGTACTTCGATTCAGGCCTAACAAATTAACAAATGCATTCAGCATAGCCGGCAATCAAAAGCTGTCAGATCCCAATATTTCATCTCAATATAATGAAGAAGAATGCGGGGAGCATTGTTCTGATCTGCATTATTTCCCTATTATTATATATTGCCAGGGTTTTCAGGGCCGGCCATATCTAACTAATGTTTTCCCCATAGAAAGGCAACGATGAAACCAAGGCTATCAAGAGATTCTTTGGCATAGGGAAAGGGATATAAATTCCATTCTTTTCTTCCACGTCAAAATCAAAGTTTGCCTAGGACAGCAGATGAGGAACACCAACCCAACAATGACTAGGCAACAAAAATATCGCATCAACTTGGAGCTATGCTATCTCTGCAGGCACATCCTTCTGCTAATATCATACTCCCATAAACCTGATACAACCTGACGTTCCAATTTCTTCATCCTCCCACTAATCCAATTGTTATGAAGAATAAGACAGCCCATTTTTAAACAGGCTTCTTTCACATTTTTCTTCTTCCAAAGATCTAAGTACGCACCATTAGGAAACAGGTTCCTGTCCAAGAAAAGAGTGGTCAGATTTGTTTCCGGTTCCACACATCTGTTATCACTGATACGATAGGATCCACCTTCTCCACACAAATTGTCATAGAAACTTGGCTGTTCAGACAGGTTTGATGTTGCTGCATGCTTTACCACCTTCTCCATAGCAGCTATAGTTGAGCCATCGGAACGAGCAAAGTAAAAACCAGAGTTCAAGCGCCTTGGTAAGTTTACAGGTCCTACAGAGTAGAACAACAGAACAAAAGTGGTTATAATTTAAATCCTAAGACTATAATAGAGATAAATGAACAAAGTTATGATGGAGTCACCAAACACATTATTCAGTATCTTTCCCCACGTGAAACAGATGTGACAATAATCTAAACTTTTCCTTTTTCCTTTATTTTGTACATTTACTAAACATAAGATAGGGTCATTTGAAACAAGTCATTAAAGTCCCTTGCACCATATTTCAACTGGATATCTTTGTTTTTTAATCTACTAGTTTTCTTCTGATCTCCTTGAATCAATTTGTACTATGAGAAAAAATTAGTCATTTAAGTGATAAATATTTGAGAGTATTCACCTGTGTCATTGTACTCATCAGACTGTGCCACAAGAACACCAGGACCAAAAGAATAAAGCAATGGCAATGGATTCCCAAACCAATAAACATCCACATCGCTTAGAAGTACGTTGTACCCAAGTTTCAGTATCTTCCAAACCATTCTGGACTTCACTTTGGTGACTCTCTGAAAGCATGATGTTCCAAAGTGGCAATCGTTAAAGCTGATGTTTCTTGGGGCTGATGGATCATGGAAAACAGGGAGGCCCTAGCAGAAACAGAAAATTTCAGTGACACAAAAATAGACAGCGGCTTGGGAGGAAGGAGATCCACAACTAAAATCCAGATAGAATTTTTTGGGGCAATCTTCCAAAATCATAATAGAATTCAAATGTGAATTTTTTGCGGCCTAAACCATTTGGTGCACTCAACAATAAGAATTGCACTTAGGCCATAATAAACCTTAGAATTCCTATGGGGATTCAAAACCATAAATCGAGAACAGGGCAAGCAAAGTCTATCCCCCAGATGTTGAAGGTCATCCTAAAAGGTCAATTACTGATAATGATGAAAAGAAGAGAATGGAACTATCGCAGTCCTTTTTTACTGAACCAATATGCTGCCAGTAGCAAAAAAATTAGTCTACCAGAATCACACATATATTTCTCTTCTATGAGCATTACCCTGTTGACGTGCCTGATATTGCGCAGCTGAGAACTGACCCCAGTTTAATTGAATTGGAACAAGAAACTAAAACTCAAGAGAAATAGAAAGCAATAAATCAGTACCTGTAAGACAGAGAACTGATATGTTTCCCGATCAAGAGCACAAATGATGAAATTTGTGACCTGGAGGTGGCGTAATCTACACACCCAACTCATTAGCATGTCCTTGTAACTATAACCAGCCACAGAAAGCACAATTGTTTTATTGTTGTCTGCAGTTACTGAAAGGAGTGACTCTAAAGAAAATGGAAGATCTAATGATCCTGATGACTTTAACTGATCTCTCAGGGAGCAATTTAATATTCTGTTTTGTGATTTAACATTTTCAGCAGGCGCCATATGTTTCTTCTTGGTACGGGATCTCAAAACCCTCCTAGCCCATAGACTTCCAGTCTGGCACACAGAGGTGCAAACAATGTCTTCTGTTATGTCAGCAAAAAGATAATGCCCCTCACAATTCAAAAGCTTTGCTAGACCAGAATAATTAATTTCGTGGAAAAACATTGAGCCATATAGTGCACCCAGATGAGAATTGCCACCATTCTCCCAGCTTCTGTTTTCAACCTCTAAAGCACTGGATCCTCTGATTGACTGCTCAGACCAATGTTCGGGATAATTAAGAGAGAAACATGAGATGGTCCAACTTGCATCATAGATGAGCCTAAATTCTGATGACACGGCCTCGTTGATGACCCAGTGGTTGTGAATCCCTTTGCCATACAAGAAAGGAGGAAGTACTCCGTTATGTAAAGGTAGATTTCTGTTGTTCCATGCCATAAGCATTCTGTCCTCACAATGATTCCACTCCCGATAATGATCAAGTATCTCCTGCAACTGTTGGAATCAAGAATGATGTCAATAGTACTGTTGTCCCAAATAGGCCGTCAACTTTCATTCTGGAGTAGGAATTCGTCATACCTCCTGGTGTCTCGCCCTTCGGCCATCCTCTCTAAGCCAGTGTTCCCCAGAATCATCCAAGCGGAATGGGAAGTAAGAAACATTTCGTAACGAAGCCAGAAGAAGCCAGTCACGGTCAAGATTGTAAGCATAGTTTAAAGTGGAAATGAGGTCAGAGAGAAGAACTGTTTGTGGATCGACAAAAACAGTTATGTCTGCTGTAAATAACCGTGATTTTTCTAGCATGGAATGAAAGAATGGGGTGCCAAGGAACCTAGAAAAGAAGAGAATAAGGCTAAAGTTAATGACATAATCCTCGCATTAAAATTGGGCAAGAATCAAAATAACAAACTTGTTGAACTACCTAAGATAACCAATCCAGAGCAGAGCAGAGCCATCTATGGCTAAGCATAGACAGAAATAATCAAATTGAAATTGAAATGCTTACGTGAAATCAATACTGGAATCAACCATAACCCGGGAACCGAAGGCCGAGGCAAAAGAAGGGTGTTGAGTGAACAAAACGACAGTGATTTGAGGTGACAAAGCAAGCCATGATCGAATAGCAAGAATCTGCTTGGAGCCAGGGGCAGTAGGCGCTGAAAATATTGTAATTGTTGGATGGCTTAAGCTTTGGGGTCTTGTCTGCTTAAAAGAAGGTAACCTCCGAGTGGCATACAAGGAAAGACCAATCAACACAAACCCATATAGCCAGACCGACAACAGTCCCATTTGCATTCCCTGTTATTAAAAACAATCAAACAAGTTTCAGAGCAGGTAAAAAGAGATGATATTGCTGAAAATTAAAGAGGAGAGGTGAGGAAACCTTCATTGTTGATATTGCTCCTCTGTTTCTGAAAAGATGAAAGAGGTGCGGGTTTTGTTGGTGATTGCCAACGTGTTGAGTGTTCTCTTCTGGTGGGTGAAAATGGAGTGAAACTTTAACTGAAAAAAAAAAAAGGAGGGGGAAAGAAGAACTGGGAAATAAAGAAATGGAAGAGTAACAAACCCACAAGGTCGCCGCCACCAATACGGGTGAAGCGCATGAGAAGACATGTGAGGTTAGGTGTCACATAAACGTCACCTTCCATTACTTTTTTCAGAGTTTCAATATTCAAAACATCCCTTTGCTTTGGGATCGAGGCGGATGCTTCCATGTTCCCCTTCCATCCAGTTCAACAACCTATGCTTTGAAAATTACCATAACATTTCATTTCAGATTACATAAACAAACTAAAGGATTGTTTGGAGTATAGTTTTGTGTTATGCTTTGAATATTACTCTAATATTTTAAAATTTCTGGTTTTGAGAAATTTTATTTTTCAAAGGAAAAGAAAGTGACAATGGGACAATTTTTTTGTTTTGATTTTTTTTTTTTCCCTTTTCAAATGACTAGAAAAATAAAATAGGGAGTGGTTTTCAAATTCAGGAGTCAGATCCATTTGACTATAATCAAACTAGTAAGCCACTGCTGGACTTAAGGTAGGACAGCACGAATGAACACTGTTCAGTTAAAACTGATTAACCGAACCAAGGCCAATGACCAATTCAATTCAATTTTTAATTAAATTCGGTTATTCAAAATCAAAACTAAATTAATTTCAGTAACTTGATTTTAGTTTGGTTTTTTAAATATTTAATTCCCTTTCTACTAAAAACCGAATTATATATTTAAAAAAAATTATATATAGACATATTGAATATATTTGAACTTTTGATTGTTATTTGGATTTTGATATTTTAGTTTACACAATATTTGAACAATTAATTATTTTTTTTATCAATATATGTTTTACATATGAATTATTAAACTAATATTTAAAATTTGATATTTTATTATATGTATGGTTTTATGTTTTAATCTTATTTTAACAAATATTTATTATTTTTTTATATAATTTTGACTATTTTGCCAGAGAAAGGATTCTATAATCCATAATAATAATTGTTTTTTTTGGACTATTTACATTATTTTAAATAATCAACAAAAATCAAGAAGAAAAAAGCAATCAGATTTTTGGGAAAAAAACCAAAATTCAATGTCTTATCTGAAAAACCAAATACAAATTCCGGTTGCGTTTAGTGAATTATGTTAAAAACTAAATGTTCACTCATGGTCTAAGATACCTATGGGTGAGATAAAGACCCAGTCCAGGAGGATTTGAGGGTCAAGTCCAGTAGCATGTTAAGGATCAAACTTAGATAAAGATTAGTTCTTAATGGTCGAGGTCGTTGACCACTTGGTATGACTTGTAGAAACAACTTTGCTAATTTTAGTCAGTTATAAATTAAAATTTTCAACTTTTGATTAAGACTCCATTTATTTGGTGAAAAACAACTTTCTTAATTAGTTACATGAAAAAATTACTGAAAAATATATTATAGTATTTATTTGATATAAAAAACCGAAATACAAAAACAATTTTCTTTTTAGAGAAATTGAACTTATAATTTGAACTAAAAAATAGTTGTATAAATTATTACTTATCATTTGTAGATAATTATTTATTTGATTTCAAAAAATCAATGTTGGAATAACTTGTTACTAATTGTTGACTGTAATTATTAATAAAATTTTACAACCGATTAAAATTAATCACAAATTATTGATTTAATTACAAATGAATAGTACTGAAAAAATAATGTATTTATTAATAAATTAATTAGTTTCAAATTTTTCACAAATGATTTCAGTTTTGTAATAATCATTTTTAATTATTTAAGTATCATTTATATGGTATTTAGAATAATGATAAAAAAATAGAGATAAATTATTAATATATTTATTATAAAAATAATTTTAATATGTAAAAATAGTTTTTAAAAATATTTAATGTATTTATAAATTGAAAAATCAAATGTTAGTGGATATAGAGAAAAAATAATTAAATAATTAGTAATAATTAATAAAAAATAATTAAAAATTAATTTGATATATTTTAAATAAAAAAAGATATAAAAAAATTGTTGAAATATATCAAAAGAAAGATGAGTAATGCGAGAACGAAAAAGCTCGTGCGAGAAAAAGAAAATATATATTTTTTTTAATTCGAAAAACACTTTCTTAAAAAATAAAATGCTCTATCATTTTCTGTTAATTGAAAATGAAAAATGAATCCATTGACTTTTTTTCTTAAAAACAAAACAAACATTTAAAAAAAAAAAAAAAATTTCTAAAACTTGCAACCCCCCACCCCCTTCCTTCCTTCAAAACAAACAGTCAAAATTTAACTTAATTTTGCAACAACTTTTTGATTGAAGTCAATATTTATTTCTAACCAATCATATCTATAATTTTCCAATGGTCAAAGGTTGGAGGTTAAAAAACAGCTTGAATCAATTTACAAAATTTAACCAAACAGAACCTTGGATGATTCCAAAATCCAGGTATGTTGTATCTTCTGGTTAGCACAGTGGACCAGACGAGGGGAGAACAACTTCGGTGAATACTTTGCTAGCTATCCGGTGGATGAGTGGTTACACTTCCAGGAGAAGTGTAATAATAAGCTTTAAAGCCTCACAGATCACAAGCCGAAGTACTTCAGCTTGAGCTTCCCTGTTCATTCAAAGAGTTACCAGTCATTTCAATGGAAGTTCCACCATCGTATTTCCCCAACTTGCACATTACACCTTGGGTGAATCGCCTCCTTCTAAGTTGATTCTAATTGAACTACTATCTAAGCTGAAAAACTCCCGTGTCAATCGTACATGAAAATGAACAGAAGTTGTCTTCACTTTTTAAGTGATAAAGCACTTAAAACTTTAAATGTAGTCCAAAAAAATTTCCCGCTGCATGATATCCAAATACAACACATGTAACAATTATAGAACAGACAAAACCTTCATTGGGCAACCCATCAAAGCCATTATCAGCCTACACCCAGAAATACCATGCCATGGAAATAGATCTTGCATTACCCGCTAAACTTCCCTAAGCACGTCCCCCAACATACCAGAATTTAATATTCCTGACGCTTAGGAAGGTCAGATCCCTAATTCAGGGTACACCAGAAAATTTCATCACGTTGGATCTTCCCAAACCTCTAAACAGAATCGCCTTGCATTTCAGAGCCTGCATCACTTATGCCGCCTGACAGGTGATTTGGATCTTGATCTCCTTCTCCTGCAATAAATTAGCAACAGCTACTGAACCAGGTAATATTGCAATTCAAAAATCAGAAACTCGATGCTTTCACCTTTGCAGCAAATGGTTGTGCATGTCTCAGAAACACTAACACAATCTTAATCTTGAAGATTGCATGGCAACATACCTTGTGGTCTCAAGAGAAGAGTAGGGAGATTGCCTGCGCTGAGAATGCTTGCTATGAGGTGACCGCAATACTTGTCTAGAAATGAAAACACCCATCATACTTATTTGGTGAGTTGAAAACACGGAACTGAACAGAGAAATGCTTAGCCTTGCTGAGAATCAAACTCTACAAGAATTTCGTCTGTGTAAACTTTTTTGCTACTAATAACATAACGAGGTTGTATGTACTATCAAACACCATCAAGTGATAACCAAAAGCTAATGTAACTCTTAATTTATTTTTTCAATTAGGAAATGTTCATTAAGTTATTATTTCTTTAACTTCTATAAGAGCATAGAATTATAAATTATTTAGTTATATTTTTTTCTAACTAAAAAAAAGCGGCCATTTATTATGGGATTCAGGGAGTACTAATCCTAAAACATGAGACAAAGTGATGCTTTGCTAAAAATCGATTTATGTCAATGTCTGGCTATGCTCTTTACAGACTTATTCGATGATATTCAAGTGTGGGGTGGTTAACAAAAAGAAAATGGTGCCATGTGCTCAACAGAGGTTGCAAACTACAACCAGGTCAAGACACCCATTGCTTTAGATGTATTAGCTATAGAGATACAGAAAAGGAATTGCATTGGGGGAGCAGGGGGACTGGATGAATGATTACGTACAGTAAACACGGTTACTGAAGACAGGAAATGCAATATGCAATGATGAAATCATATAATGCGTCGAACATGACAGAGCCGAACGTGAGATTGAACCTCACATATAATACAAATAGAGCACATAAAAAAAGTGCCTACAATCTTGTTCCATAGTTCTGCATCTTTGGATCATTGCACCAAATGTTGTCTCCATATGCTATCAACAAGTCAAAACACGTCTACTTGATAAATGCACAATAAGTATTTATATGAAACATTTAAGTATCCTTGATTATGACACAAGCACAAGCATTTCTCTCATATATTGTCTACACAACAAAAGTAAAAAGATGGTAAGATTGCAGCTGCTTTTCACCGCTTAATTTTCTCCCTTTCTTGCTCTTGATAAATTTACTTTTAATTTCCTTCTCAATAAAGGCAAACAATTTCAACTGATTCAATTGCTTCCATTCAAAGAGTGAGCTAGCTAGGTTAATTTATCAGTGCATCCATTAAGGAAAGCAGACTTGAACAATATCACAAGAACTTCATCAAAAAATTTGACCACAAGAAAAATCGATAAAGAAAATTATACTACAATTGAATTGACAAGGAAAGATCAAAGACGCCACAAAGAATTTATACAAACAAGAAACCTAGGTCCAAACAAGCATACTAAATTTGATTTAAACTGCTACTTACTCTTTTTTCATGTTAGTTATATGAAGATGGACACATTTTATTTTCACGATAGTACCACAGAAGAATTTTAAGTATTCAAATGTGTAGGAAGAAACAAAAACATGGGAGACATGATAAGAATAATGAACTTCTGATAAACGACTACCTTCTTCTAGACCTGACAGGTGATGGTGAAGACTGCCGTTTCCTTGAATGTTTCCTGCAGTACACAAAAGAATATAAGCATCCCACACTGCAAATATACAAAAAAGAACAGGCAGAATCTCAGAGGTGAACCTCTTAGAATCATCTGATGCTTCATCACTTGAATCACTGTCCTTGCTGTTTCTACCCCTACTGCTGATTGAAGAAGAACGAGTTCTCTTGTGCTTGCTTGAGTCACTGGTAGGTTTATGTCTTGCTCTATCTTCCTCCTTTTCCTTTGTTCGATCTCTCTTTCTGGTGGCATCATCTTTGGCACTAGATCTGTGAGGTTTTTCTGCCTCTTTCCTGTCCTCCTTGACTTCAGGATGAGAGGACCTTCTTCTTGATTCTGATTCCTTTGCACTCTCTCCTGTCTTATCATTTCGCTCTTTCCTCTTTTCTTTTGAGCCATTCAGATCATCTGTTTTTTCCTTGTTCAGATGCTTCCCATCCTGTCTCCTCTGACCATCATCCCCCTTCTCATCTGCCCTACTCCCACTACTTCTACTTTCACGTCGACTATCTTGATCTGATCTCACCCTGGTATCCCTGGCCTGAGAATAATCAGCCACTAATTTTTCCACACTGGCACTCTCACCAAGTGGTTCAGATTTCATTTTGGTCGTTTCTCCAATTGTAGCTTTGGAGGCAGCCTTGTTATCGCTTTCTAATTTTTTTTCACCATTAACACTAATTTCGACATGACTGTCTGCAGAGACCACCCGGGAATGCACATGCTCATTCAGCTCACTAAAAGCACCATTAATTTTACTATCAGACCCAATTGGACTTGTTTTGCACAGATCACTATCTAAATTTGCAACTCCAGTGCTCTTTCCAAGTTCTATTTGCGAATTGCCATTTTCAGCTGCATCATTCGTATCTTCTGCAATCTCTGAAATGGCTGACGGTTGAAGCACAGAATTTTTCCTCGAATTTGATATGCTGGAACTCTGGATTTCATCATCATCATCATCATCTTCATCAGAGGCATAGTTAGCGAGACCTAAAACATTTCCAGGGGAGCTGGAACTAGCTTTTTCATTGACATCTTCATTCTCAGACTCATTGGTTCTAACAGGAACTAGAACCTTTGCAAAAGCCTTTGGAGTTGAGTTAGCAGGGTGAGATGGTGATGAAACCTTTTGATTTGAAGCAACCGATTGGTGCTCAACTGCAAAGCCAAAAAGGGCCATCATTGAAAAGATTTTGAAGAGCAGAATGAAGCCAAGATACGTAGGTAGCTACAGAAAGATATGTACAAATATGGATAAAGACTCAGATGTTATGGCATGATTACCTTCAACCATCAGATCATCTTCATCAAGAACTTTCATTGCAATTTCATCAAACAGCTCATCGGTAACCTAATCAAAACATGGAGGTTACAACTAACAGAGAGAGAATTTAATTAGAAACCAAAAGGATTTATGCAGCTGTAACCTTCGAAAGAACTTCAGTTAGGATACGTTTGATTTCCTGGTTAATAGCTGCAGTTCTAGCCGCTTCAGCATAATCCTGCAAAGAGCCAAAACAGAAAGACAGAATATGGGGAAAAGAATGTTCATTGTCCAAAATCAAATGCAGAGCAAAGCATTAAAGGAAATCTCATTGAAATTATCAAGAAACATGTCTAGCATGGAAAAATATCTTTGATAACAGGAAAGAAACACCAAAAGGACATTAAACATCAAAAGATTGAGCAATAGAACCTCATCGTCATCATCTTCTTCAGTCGACCTTGGGGAATCAATGCTTTTGCTACCTGCTTGATTACCCTTTCCAAATGATTTATCAACACCTTCATCCTCAATAGATTGTGTTTCCTCTCTAGGATGCTCTAGAGAAGGCTTCGTCATGACAGAGGCCTTAATTATTTCTTCTTTGAGCCAATTTGGGACAGAGGCCTGGAAAATTTTTCATGGCTCAACAATAATCATTTTGGTTAAATGCAAAGCAGCCTAAGAGGGTACCCACCTTTTTAGGGCGTTCAGAAACATTAGAAACCCCATAAGCATCCGTGAAGCCTCCAGTAGGATGAAGTGCATTTCCTGCACCAAGACAATATGGCACACCAGCAGGTGAAATTGTGGGCTGAAAACTTGTTCCAGGAAAGCTCCCAAATGGCGGTGCAGCATGCCCGGAAACAGAAGAAGGCACAACTATGGTAGGATCCTGTGAAAAGAATAGCAGGTATTTATACATCAGTGTAAAACCTCTTAAATTGAAGGAATATTCACCTCTCAAAGTGAAGGAATATTTGCAATATTCACAAAGCCAGAACCAAAACCTGAGGCCCTGGTGGAAGAACTGGAGGAATTGGAGGATAAACTACACCAGTAGTAACAGCAGGATTCCAGGAACTAATTGAAGGGATGGGTCCAGAAGAGCCAATGCCTCTCATAGTTCCTGCCGAATCATGATGTGTAGCATAACTTGACTGCATATGAGGATCATGATCACGGTTGAAACCAGGTGCAAACTCCAAAGGCTGGTTGCTGAGGTCGGCTGTGGGATTAGATGCCTGATTGCTATATGCAAAGGGCTGCTCAGTCAAAACTGATCTACCAGTAGCAGGCAGTGATGGTAGCAGATGATGCTGTCCTTCTTGAGCAGAGGAAATGGGCAAAGGCAATGATTTGTAAAACTGCTCCTTTGGATCTACAATCTCTTCTTTACCTGCCATAAAATTAAGTAGTCAAACAGCAAAATTGAAAATGAACAATACTATAGAAAACCTTCGGTAAAAATGGAAGTTTAACTTAGCCATCAGTAAGCTTACTCCTAAATGTTCTGCACACAGTTCAATTCACTGCATGAATTCTATAGATTTTAATGTAGGCTTTATATATTAAAGATCATGGTAAGAACAGTGGACTTCATCCTCTCAAAACCTTGTGACTCCAATAGGAGTTGATGGTGATTTATCCCTTTTTTTTTTTTTTTGTGCAGCAGAAACTGAGAACAAATTTTCCTTAAACCTTATTTATAAAAAGGCAATACATCTCCCAAAGCCAGTTCGTCTTTCACGACTCTTTTGTAAAGATGAAAAAGTAGAAAGTGTTAAAAACAGTGTCCCATAGGAGCAGTTCTTGAGCACAACCTTCACATGCAAGTACAATATGCTAAATTAATTATTACCTGTAACAGAAGAATAACTAGAAGGTACCTCCTGCTGATGAACAGACGGACTTGCATTTGAAGTTGCAGCTCCACCAGTATAAGCAAGAGGTCTATCAGAACCATATGAAGATTCTCCCATGTTGAAAGATGCATTCTCCTGTGGATAAGCCAGAGGCAGCTGGTGTGAAGGAGCGGCTGAAACTGGAAACTGCTGATAGCCCACTGCAGGAAATGGCTGCTGCTGAACACCTTGATAATGAGTATCAACAGTTTGCGGATACTGATCATAATATGGACTTTGTTCTTCTGATCTGCCAACTGGTGTAAATTGAGACTGAGGATGTTGATCTTCCAATGCACCTTGTTTTGCAGCTGCCCATGCTCTGGCCTTAGCAGCCCAATCCTCCACATGGTTATGGGCTGCTATTTTTAAAACATATCATTACAAAGTTAATCCCAAAACTAATTTAAAATGAAAAAATAAAACTCTGTCGAGGAGGAGGAAAGGTTAATGTTGGTTAAGTATATTTCTTCATAAAACACTGTTTTTTTTTTAATAAAAAAAAAATCCGCAATGCTGATAACAAAATAAACGCTACTCCGTCCAAACCCAGGCTATATAGGGGGAAAAGGTGTCCAGAATTGCATTTGCATGAAAAAGTAAACTAACCTGCTGGATATTCCCAAGCTTGGTGCTGTCCCCAATTGGGATTCCCCCATTCCTGCAAACAAATAGGAACAAGCAATTGGTCACCAACTAATTAATTGCTCTAAAATGTCGTATAGAGTAGCATAATCTCTCTAAAATTGACCAAACTAATTCCCTAATTAGAGGGCAACAAAAAATAACCCTGGCTTCACAAAGAAAAAAAATAAAATAAAAAAAATAAGCATTGGACGAATCACCTGAGAGTAAGGTTGTGTTGGTGGAGGCACGTATGGGCGAGGAGGAGGAAAGAGGTGGCTTTGAGAGGGAAGGTGCGTAGGATAAGGGTATGAAGAAGAGGGAGGAGGAGGAGGAGGAGGAGGAGCTATAGGCCACTGCTGGGGAGGTGGAGGGGAAGGAGAGTGTGATGGTGGTGGTGGCGGCGGCGGCGGAGGTTGTGGATGGAATTGGAAATGGTTGGAGTACCATGAAGTGCCTCCTTGCGGCTGTTGAGGGACTGGTGGTCTGGGCTGGTGCTGGTGGTAGTAGTGGTAAGGATCCGCCGCCGACGGTGGCACTGTTGTTGTTGTTGTTGTTGCTGCTGTTGCGGCGGTGGCGGTCTCATGTATCCGTGATGGTGCTGCTGCTGCTGTGGGTAACCGTCCATGCTTGGGTCTTTACTTCGCTCTTTCTGGGGTTTTAATAATATTATTGCCTCAAAAGAGATACAATCATAAAAACAACGGTTTCGCTTCCAGGACTGGATTCGGTAGCCAAAAACGCCAAAAAGAACAAAGTTTTATTTTCTGTTTTTCCTTTATTCTTTTCTTTTCTTCTAGTGAAGTGAAGAGGTAGATAAAACTCAAAAAAAAAAATTACATACATCTAGGTTTTTTTTTTAATTTCTCATGGATTATAATTTTCCTTTTCTTTGTTATGGAAAAGGAGAGCAAATGAAAAAAATAAATAAATAAGCAATGCCTAACTTTTTTCTTTTATTCATCCACGAGAGCTACTTCTTGGTCTAACTTGACTTTCAACTACTCTAAAAATTATTATAAAAAAATAAAACAAAATAAATAGTATGAGATAAAGAGTAAATTATAAATTAGTCTTTTTAGTTTTGTAAAACAAATTAAATAATTCTGCATTTTTTAAAAATTAATTAATTAGTTCCTTAATTAGTGTTAACTATAGTTAATTTAATATTAGTTTTTATTCCAAAAGATGTCTTATCTTTTCTTTATTCTTTTCATATTATTTACTCTCTTTTTTCTCTTTTCTATTTCATAAAAGAAAACCAAAAGTTAAATTAAAAAGACGGAAATGATTAGATTATAAATAGATTTAAAAACATAAGAACTAATTTATTAGTTTTTAAAACTAGAAGAATTATTTAATTTATTTCACAAAACTAAAGAGACTAATTTATAATTTCATTATGAGAATATATATATATATATATATATATATATATATATATATATATATATATATATATATATATATATATATATATATATATAGCAAATGAGTTCAAATTAAATCGATAGATTATATACTAAAGAGCTGATAGCATTGAAAGTTTATCACTCGTATCTCAAGAGAACTGAAAATTTAAAAAAAACTTTTTCTTAGCTCCTGATATGATTTCTAAAATTGATTTCTCAATATTTGTTTTACCTAAAAAATAGTAATTATAAAATAAGAAATATTATTAACAATTATTATTTTACTTGTATTTAATAACATACTCATTTGAGTTTTCGACATTCTATTTTATTAAATTAAAAAAAAAACTCAATGGTTAATAAAATTACGTGTAATTTTATAATTTTTCATCAAAATCTTACATCTAATTAATTTTTCATTTCCATATGAATTTATTTTTAGAAAATAACATAGTTTGTTTGTTTTTACTTTTTTCTTTTTGAATAAAAAATTATTATAATTTTTAAAACGAGATTCAATCTAAAAGAAAAAAGCATGGTTCAATCATATTTATAAACCTGTATAAGAAAAATAAAATGATAATTAATTTTATAAAATTACAGATAATTAATTAATTAATCATTTAATGTTCACAGAATATTTACGAGACAAATTAATTCCTCTGAATTTAAATATATTTTAAAACAATACACAATAGGTTCATATATTATCATTCATAAAATAAACATTAACATTAATGTCATAACCCTTTTTTGACCTTCAATAATTTTTATTTTTATACAAATTTGAAAAATTGTATGATGCATAGTTTTTTATTATTATTATTTTCCATTATTTTTAGGCCTTTTTTATATTTTTAGGATTTAATTTCTTAGGATTATCTCCTAATTTTAATTAAATAAACCAAAAACAAAAAACAAAAGAAGAAATTGAAAAGAGAAAAAAATTAGGCACAAATTAAAAAAATATATAAAATATGTGAGGACCAATAAAAATCAAATTGAGGGTGTAATTGACACAAGAAAAGGTTAAGGATTGAGGTAGAATCAAGGAGAAAATGAAGAACTAAACAAAATTAACCTTAAATCCTAAAATCCCTATAAATAAATCTCTTTCTCTCGCACACAAAAAAAAGAAAAAAAGAAAAAAAAGAGGACCATCCAAACAGCTCTTTTAGTTTAATCCTAATAATCCGCGATCAACAGGTCAATCCGTTGTCGTTTTTCCTCTAAGTTTGCCATTTTTCGATGTCAATCACCATAATAACCACCACCAATTGGAAAGCCCACTCTTAGATTGACCTTCTCCAACCGGTTGCCACGACCAAAAACAACAAAGGAGAGGAGATAGATAACTTGACCCGGATAACAACTTGGGTAAATTAGTCCATGCCACTCGCTAAAGAAACATTCATCACCTTCTTAAAAGCTAATCCTCGTTAAAATCCCAACTAAATATCGCCGAAATCAACTAAATCAAAGAAAAAATCAAAACTCTTACCCATTTTACGAGCCATATAACCCGTGACCATAACCCGAGTTTTATCTCCATTTTTCGACCGATCGAAGCTCTTAAAGTCCTAAGGGTTGTTCTCTTTTGAAATCGAACCCGAAAAAAGCATTAAATTTGCCCAAAATTGGATGGAGAATAAATAAGAGATAGGTCAAGACTTGTCGACCGTCGATCTCCTCCCTTAAGAGACAAGTGGTCTTCGTTGTCGAACCTAGAACTCGTATGCCCATCCCCTACATGACGAAGTGGTCCACGCATCGATTGGTGGTCGGATATGCGATAAAAACCTTCGACAGTAAGCAAGATCAATTCTATTATTTTTTACATGAGTAATTCAATCATCTTATTTTTGCTATTTTTAGCAACATTTTAAGGGCATTTTGGTCATTTTAAGTAACCATTCAATTTGTTTTCTTACCCTTTTAAAATTATTTTATTATGTTATTTTGCAATAATATTTAATTTTATGTGTGTTAAAAGTGTAAAAATATTTAGGTTGTAAATTTTACTTTGGCGTATGGATTTTCATTCAATCATAATGTCGGGCCAACAAGTCTCCTATTTATTAGGACGGACTATGGCTTTGATATTTTATCTAATAATAAAAATATTAAATTAATTAGGCAAGTAGGTCAACCAACAAGTCTCCGATTCGATAGGCACCGAAAGTGGTCTTAACATTTTATTTGAAACAAATGGCTAAAAAACAAATAATTAAAAAAATAAACAATAAAGAATAAAATAAAAGAATCAATTTTGAGATTATTTTCTTGTCAACATCCAAATAAACTTTTTTAGTTAATTAGACTGTTCCTCGATATGCTAATCGTGTCGAACTTTTAATTAGATTCGATGCTAAATTAATGAGACTCTTAAGTGCTTGATGTTAACTTAATATGATTCCTCAATAAAGAAAAAAAAACATAAAACTCATTCTTTGAATGTAGACATATAAACTTGAAAATAAATTTAAAGATAAAAAATCAATTTTTGCATTTGTGTTTTAATTTGACACACTTAGCTAATTAGGTCACTTCTTGGCATGCCAATCATATCGGGATATAATTGGATTCGATGCTAAATTGACACGACTCCTAATTTGGGATCCAACATCAATTTAACATAATGTCACAAATAAAAATAAAAATTAATTTGACTTAGACAACAAATAAACTTGGAAATAGACTTGAAAATAATTTGATAAATATAATTTTTAAGAGATATTTTTAGAATTAAACTAAACACGGTACTTTTTCTCGAAAAGGATGCGTTTGAGTGATTGTTATCTTTCCAAAGAAATAACCAACTCCTTAATCACAATATCCGAATTCGAGGCCCTTTTTATATTTTTAGTTACTTTTAATATTAGGTGGTCACTTCAAAAAAATTTTCTTAATTCTTTTTCTTTTTTCCACATAGAATTTTTTTGAAAGTTTCCTAAATGCGAGGGAGCGACAATTAACATCAACATAAAAAAATTATAACCTTTTTTAAAAAGTATGGTTTTATTGGGTGTTTTTAAATATTATTTTAATCATTCACTTTGGAGAGAAATTAACTTCAAAATATTCAAAAATAAAATAAAATAACACATAAAGAAAATTAAAAAACATTGAGAGCTAAAATTAAGTTATTGACAAATAAAAAAAAAGTAAATAGATTGCATACTAAATCCATAAATCATAAATTGTGGAATCTATAACTTTTTGATTTTACCTATACCTAGACCCTCTACTTTTACAAATTGTTTTAGTAGAAACTTTTCATTTTGTATTGCTTGAAACCCTCCCATTGTTAGTTATGAGTTGACGTGGTGCATCCACCTTCGAATAGGTGGCATTTGTCATACGTGAGATCTCAATAAACGGACTTGATCTAAACAATTCAAAAATATGAGTCTTTAATCGAAACAATACAAAGAATGCATAGATCAAATTATTACTTTTTAATTTTTATGTTATTGTGTTTCTAAGACCTCATTCCGAATGTTGTGAAATGTATCATATATGAGAACTTATCATAATAAAAGAGTATTTTTTTATAAAAAGAATTTATAATCATTTAAAAATAATAACATACTTATAGAAGAACTTAATATGTAATGAAAAAAATAAAATACAAATATGTTTATCAAAATTAAAATAAAAACAAAGTAATGCAACTAGTAGCTAATTATATATATCAAAGACGATTATTTTTAAAAGAAACTTTATTTTTTAATCCGAATTGGTCAAATATTAGATTTTTTTTAATACCCATCTATTTATTACTTATTTAATATTTGTTAGCACCAAAATTTTCCCATATTATTCTTATTTTTATTTTTATTGCAAAAATACCAAAACAATGATAAACAAAACAAAAAAACCAAAACAGAGAAAAAAATCAATTGGAATAATTAGCTTAGATTTTTTTAAGGAGGAGGCTAATAAAAAAAAAAAGAGAAAGTTTATAAATAAAAAAGATGAGCAATCGAGGACCCAATTAAAAATTCAAAAACTTTGATCCCTTGTTTAAATTAAAATGGACATAATCGAAACAAATTAAAAAGAAAAGGCCCCAATTAATTGCAATTTAAGGACCCCATCAAAATAAAAACCAAAATTAAACTCAAATTGATGGATGGTAGGGAATCTGGGACCAAATTAGACTTTTTCCAAAAAATCTATAAAGTACCTATAAAACCCCTTACAATTTTTTATT